ATTAGGAATATTTTATGTAACCCTACATTACTGAATTATTACAACAAGTTCAATTAAAAAAACCCTATAATTCCATGTTCATAGGTGAGTTTTTTTTTATCTCACAAATATGGGATTAAAGAGACTAAGTTTTTATAGGATTAGTTCAAACTAGAATAGCAAAATTTAAGACATTGCATTAAATTTCTTAAACTATAAATATAACATAGTTAAATTGTCAGCACTTCAAGATAGTTCTGACTTTTCTGATAACCAGGAAAAAAAATTACATCAATTTTTCAAAAACTCCCATGTCAAGATTATTTTCAGAAATCAAATTTCATCTTTTATTAAATCATAATAAATGAGAAATTATGAAAATGTTGCAAGAAGACTGTAGAAAGAAAAGTAAAACAAGAAAGAAAAAAATGATAAATGAGAAACTAATAATAGTGATTGGTTCTAGGTAGGAGCATTTAGTAGCTGGAGGCAGGTATAGAAAAGAGACTTCTGAATTTTAAATTATGTGCATCTATTACCTATTCAAAATAATTAATTTTAACAACTAAAAACTGATCAGAATACATATTACTTCTGTAGATTTGTAAGCTTTCCCCATACATCTAGAAAAAGATTACAAAATACATTCCTACAATAAAGATAAATTCAGCAGAACAGATTGCAAAGCTAAATCCTTTTAGAATTTGAAAACAACAAATATCAAAAATCCAATCCCACACTACTTTCAGTTTCATTAAATTATAGCATATATTATCAAACTGTCACTATGTGGAACACAAATTATTTTCTACTAGCTTAAAGTGGTATGTGAAATTCCAAATTCAGGAATTTAAGAGACTAAAAAGGCTAATGATTAGTATTCAGTCTTAAGACAGCTGATCATTTCAGACAATGAGAATGAACATATTTCATGAGATATCCAAGCTAATATTTCCCAATGTGGGGTGTAAGAAATCCTCCTCCATGGAAGACTTTGAAGAATGCTCATAAGACTTCACTCTATTAGGTTCAGTTTCTTTCTTCTTGAAATGTGGGCCATGACATATAAGTGTATACACACACACATATATATCTGTGTGCACATACATATTTAAAAGCTGTGTCAAGGAAGTTTTTATACTAACCTGGGTGAAGAATCAGCTAAAAATCAGTCTCACAGAATTTTTACTTGAAAAAAATATTATCTTGTAACTATTTTATTACCACTAAAAAACCTAAAGTGTATCTTTATATAAAATAAGTGATTTTATATGTAGACTGGACTAAATTAAGTTGTCTTAAAACAGTAAGTCTCACTTTGATTCCCCACCTGGAAAGTTATCTGATCCACTATTATGTAACTCTATCCAAGACCCAAATGCAAGAGTTAGTAAAAGGTAAAAAAAAAATAAATAAAACAAACATTTGTTAGCTTTAGTTCCTTGATTACCTTATCAAAATGATTAAACTCAGCATATTCTTAAACTAACAAATAATAAAACCACTCATTTCCAAAGTATAAACAGTGACACTTTGCATGTTCCATGAAACTTTTAAAATCAAGAGCATTCTTCTTAACTTCTGATCATATGAATTATACATTTTAAAAATGTAATTAAAATGAGTTTTTCAGAGAATGATATAATTTTTACATAAGGCTAATAAAATCTTTATATTTTTGTTTTCTAATTCATCTTAACATGTTATTCATTTTAAGGCCATTTATTTGTTCTCTGAAAGACTCATGCTATTTTCCCTGAAGGCTAATCAGCAAGTTCTTTTCCCCTCTGTGCCAACACAGAATCTCCAGAACAGTTTCTACAAGCTGCAGCAAAGCAACAATTCTACAGTGAATTTCATTTACCATTTGGTGAGGTACATACTTAAATTGTGATTCATGAACATCTTTGACAGTTTATGGACATCAATGAAAAGAAAACTGATACTCTAACATGTGACTGACTGCCAACAACCAAGTCACTTTACTTCAAATGGAAATGGAAATAGACTATGGTAGCTAATAATTTTGAACACATGAAGTGTCCAAGAGAAAATTATTTCAACTAAGTTTGAAATTACACACAATCATGAAATGAAGACTCAGAATAAACATTTTAAAATACACAATGAGACTAAATTAAGTTTAGCCAACAGGTTTTGATTCAATGCTAATGTTATTAACAAATCACTACATCTTCAAAAAGCTTACAGTAGCAATAGAATCTTTAATATTAAATGCTAGGATTTCAACCAAGTGTCATCGTTTTCTCAAAAAATTTTGACAACTCTATTACATACAGTGCCAATTATGAAAGGATATTTGAATATGTGAATGGAACACCAGAAAAACTCTGATGTGCATTATGTGAAAAAAAATGAGACTACAAAATTTTTTAATTTACAAAATAAATTGGTAAATGTATCAAAGAAACATTAAAACATTACCAATCGTGTTGCACAAGACCTCAAACTGGCTTGAAACATCACATTCTTTCAAGCAACATATAGCAAACTGCATTCTCAAAGACTATCTGTAACAGTGACTAGTGAAAACCCTTTAAACTATTTTTCAGATTAACATCTCCCTCCTTCATTAGTTAAATATTTTGATCCAGTACAATGAAACAGTTAAGATTGTATAATTTTAAAAAGACATTTAATCTCAATCCCCTTAATCAAAGGAGGTGTGACAACCAACGCACATAAAATTAACCTTAATCCGTCAACTAAAACACGCAAAATGTCTCCTAACAATTCTCCTTAAAACAACAACCGTACACATAAATACGGTACTGACCTCCACTCCTATTGCGAGCAGCTAATTAATAAAGAGAATACTTATGTTTGGAGACCAAAGGTGCAACAGCCCCACCTCATAAACCTCCCAGAATAACCACATCAACCAAGCAGAATTGAACATTATTTTTGCTAAAGCAGGAATTCAACCCCGGGGAGTCTCAACCCTTAGACAATGGTGGTTACCAGACAGTGCTGCACAGTTGGGTCCAAATGACACATTTCACTAGGCCTTGGACACAACACACACACATACACACACACACACACACACACACACACACACACACACAATCCCAAGGGGCCAGTTCAAAGGAAGGGGCGTTCAAACCCCACTAGGAGATGGAGGGTAGCACCGCGGCGTGGGGGGTCGCTAGGGGAGGACAGGCGAGGGGGTGTCGATAGAGCGGGAGGGTAACTGCACTGCACACGAGGGAGGGGGCTGGAAATGGCCGATGGATTCTATATTTATTTATTTATAGGTCCTGATTTAACGGGTCCTTCTCAGGGGTTCCGTAACTAAAGGCAAACTGCGCAGCAAACATTGTGGGGTTGGGAGAGGAGTCGCTGCTCCCCCTACCCCGTGACCAGGGAGGGGGGAGGGGGAAACAAGTTCCCCAGCCAACACCACAGACCACTCCGATTCCCCTTCTCCCCCTCCTCCACAGGAAGGGGGAGACTAACACAGTAAAAGGGGAAAAACAAGTTCCCCAGCCAACCCCACCGCCCTATCAGTCCCAGTCGTTCCCCCCACCTACCATTAGAAAGAGGCAGACTAAACCGTGGAAGGCGGCAGAAAAGGGGGAAATCCCACCCTTCGCCTTCCCCCCAGCCACCAACAGACTCCCCCGGGGTCAGCGAGCTAGCCGGGAAGCCAAAGGGATGGGTGGGGGTGGAGGCTGCCGAGCCCCCGAAACCAAACAAAGCGCGGCCTGAGCGAGAGCCCGGGCGAGTGGGAAAGCCGCGGCTTTTCCTGCCGGCCGGGGCCCGGCCCGGGCTGACACTGCGGCACCGGGGACCCGCCTCCGCTCAGCCTCCGTCCCCCACCCCCGGGGCGCACACGCCGCCCCCGCCCGCCCCGGCCTCCCTCTCCGCGGAGCCCGGCCGGACGGGCGCCCGAGCCGGCGGGCGGCGAGGAGGGAGCGCGGCCTTACCCCGCTCGCCGACGTTGTTCCGCTCCTGAGGCAGCGGCGGAGGCGGCGGTGGTGGCGGCGGAGGCTGCTGCTGCTGCGGCGGCGGCGGAGGCTGCTGCTGCGGCTGCTGCTGCTGGGGCGGCTGCGGCGGCGGCTGCTGCGGGGGCTGCTGCTGCTGTTGCTGCACCGGGCGCGGCCGCGACACTCGCCTGGGTCTCCGGTTGGCGGCTCGGACGGAGTTCATTTGCCGGGCTGAGGTGGCGGCGTTGGCGGAGGGACACACACACTCACACGCACACGCACAGCGAGCTCCGGGGCAGGAGAAGGGGGTGGGGAGCGGGGGGAGGAAGGAGAGGGGACAAGGGGAAGGGGAGACGGTAAGGGCGGAGGGGGCAAGCGGGACCCCGAGTCAGGAGAAAGGCCCGGGGAGACAGAAGGAGACCGAGCGAGGCCGGCCGGGCGGGCCTGACGCACGGGGAAGGCCGAGGCCGCCGGGCGGGGCGGCCGCGAGGGACAGAGACAGAAAGACGGGCAGAGCGAGAGAAAGAAAGAAAGGGCGTCCGCCGCTTGGGGATCCCGAGGCGAAGCGCGGCGGCGGCTAAGGAGACAGATCCCGGTCCCGCCGACTCCCGAGCGGCGTCTCCGGCGGCGGGGGGAGTGGGCGGGCGGGTGAGGAAGGGAGAAGGAGGAGAAGAGAGGGAGGGAGGGAGCAGGGGGCGCCCGGCTCTTTTTTTCCCTCTTCCTCCCCCCCACACCCCCTGAAAGAGATTTCTGTGAGGAATTTTTTCTCTCTTTCTTCGGCCTCTTCTTTCTCCTCCCCCCCCTTCTCTCCTCGGCGAAGGGGAAATGAGTGTGAAGGGAGGAGATAGGGGGGAAAAGAGGCGTCGTCGTTCCTCCTCCTTAAAGGAGCCTTTCCTCCTCCTCCTCCTCAGCCCCGTCGCCGCTGCTTCTGCTGCTGCTCCGTGGCAGGAGGAGCCATTGACATCGCCGGAGCCTCCACTCGCCCAGTCGGTCCCTCCCCGCCGCGGGGCTGGCCAGGGGCGCGGGGGAGGGCCGCGGGGCGGCGGGGGGAGGGGTGAATAGGCGGGGAAGAAGAGGGGCGGGGATTCCGGCCAGTCGGCCAATGGGAGGCGCTCATACAACCTTCGGGCCAATGGCGCCTCCGCTCTTATCGCGAAGTCCCTTCCTTCAACGCCCTGTTTCCTCTCTCGGGTTTCCTACCTCCCCCGCCGAGGAGGGGGAAAGAGGAAAGGGGGAGTGTGGCGGGGCGGGTGATAATGGGGAGGTATCAGGGCATATAATAGAGCAGGGGGTGGGCGAAGAGAGCGCCAGTGCGTAGCGACGGTTCTGGGAGAGGAGGTGCTCAGAGGAAAGGGCGGGGGCTGCTGATGTAATGGGGAGAAGTGATTAATCCTTCGGTTCGCCGTTTCAGCCTTCCCCCCCCACCCCAACCTTCACCCGATTTTTTAAGCCGAAAAAAAGTGGAGCGAGGGAGCCGATCTTTGGTAACTCGGGTTTTTTTGTGGAAGGTGGGTTCAAAATCTGAGCTGTAGGGAGCGCTAGAGATTCTGTGCCCTTTAGCCAAGTTAAGGGTATTTGCAAACCTTGGAGATCTACTTTACTGAGCTTTAAATTTGGTAACCGAAGTTTGCACTCGGTGTCTAATCGTAGTCTAAGAGGGGTCATCTAAGCCTTGAAAAATTTTGATCTTTGGTCAATTTGATTTGCTCTTTGAAAAATCGGTGTATACAATGCTGGAGAAAATAATATATGAGAGAAGTAAATGTAAATGTGCTGAGGTCGTGATTGTTTATGTGATTTACAATTTTTCTTTTTTTAGGTCCCACAACTCAAAGGAAAAGAAAAATCCCCAAGATAAAGTATCTTTTGTATCTGTATTTGGTCCTCTCGACATAATCTCTCCCCAAGGAAAACGCGTTTTTTCCCCCAGCTGCTGTTATGATGACTGAAAATGTACTATTTCTCAATTCTCCCCCTCTCATTTTTGTTTACCATTTTTGGGATGTGGTAAAAATTGGCAATTCACCTGTCTCTGGTTTTCATACTTTTGGGCGATTTCGCTCTCATTTGAGTTTGATCGATTACTGTTTAGGTTTGAGATAAAGAACTACAAAGCATGATAAAAAAAAAAAAGGCTGAATGTGTATTTTGGGAGAAAGGAGAGGCAAGCCAGTATTGTGTAGTGTGTTGAGTCCTAGATTTGGTATGTGACTCTGGGCAAATTACTTTACCTTTCTAGACATCAGTTCCCCCCTCCCACCCTCACACACACAGTCTTTTAAATGAGAACTTATTTTAGACTACATAGCCCTGTTTTCAATTTTTAAAAGTCTGTGATTATGAGATGATCTCTCTTTGGTCTAGAAAATGTAGAAACTTAGATCAATGTTTCCTGCTCAAACGAATATCTGAAGAGGGCTGCTGTTACAAAACAACCGGAAAACTAAATGTTTATAGTTGTTAGCTAGGTGTAATTATGTAAAATTTTAGTTTTTGTTGAAAGGAACATAGGGAAAAAAGTAAAAGTACAGGGAAATTACATGATACTGCACATAAGTGTGTCCATAATTCTGATTTTTCTAAAAATTTACTTTTTCATTTAACAGTTACTTATTGGTTCCTTCCATGTATACATGAATATATAAGGTGTTATAGGAAATACCAATAAAATAAAAGACAAAATCATGGTCATAAAATATTTGTATTTTGGTGTGGCAGAGTTGAGGATTTATTTACATTAATTCAGATGTACAAAGGAAATATGTAGCTTGTTTATTTTCTGTAATTTTAATCTTAAGTCCCCACATTACTTCAATGTGTTAAAATATAAATGTCATCTTTCAGATTTTATTTCCCTACCTCCCTATCATTTCAAGATATGAAGGAAAGTAGAGGAGTGTTGGATATTGTATAAGTGGTATCTTTTATATACCTTAGATTTCTAAATTTATTTCAACAATTCTCTGGTATGTGGCAGTAAAATGCTTGTTCTAACAAAATCAGCATATTATGACAATTTTCTGGTAAATGGAAGTAAAGCAGCTTGAGAAAGGGAGCAGCTTTTTCTAATTCACAGTGACTAGTGGCTGGTAGCAACCTTAAGGGATGGGGAGGTTTACACTGGCATCAGGAAAGGGCGTCGAAGCCGCAAAAGCCAGTCCTTATTTTGTCCTCTGGTATGGAGTGGCAGGTATGGTCTGATGGCAGGACTGTTATCTTCATAGATAAAACTGTTCATTTCTGTCTTTTGAGGTGTCATGCTGATTTTCCTTTTGCTAAAATCTATACCCGTGCCATTTGCCCCACATACTGCAGTCTCTTTGCACCAACCCTAATTCTCTACAGGTCCATTAATCCTTATGATACCATTCAGTCTTCTCAGTGAGACTCAATGGGCACTTCTGGATTCCCTAAACACCACACGTAGGCCTTGATGATCCAGGAGCCTTGCTTTGGGCTTATTTATTGAGCTACCTCCCTTCCCCAGTGTTAACATTATTCTCCCCATGTCATATTGAACATGCTGTCAAGCTGAAGGTGGAGCTCCTAGAGGTCTCGGCCTTCCACAGACATGCCCATGAAAGCAAACCACTATCCCCAACTTTCTCAGTTTTCTCTATATCTGTGTGAATACATCAACTATATACCTTGAATTCTAGTTTCCACCCTGAGAGGCGATAGAAAGTAAACACACTGGGTCTGATTACCTTTTCCTAGTCCTCTTTTCTTCTTTCCATTATCTCCCAGGGTTACAAGAAATGGAATATTCTTCCTGTATGTAAGGAACTTTCCTTATGTACTATATCCTCTTCATTCTTTTTTTTTTTTTTATCCTCTTCATTTTTGAGGTGTCATTTGCTCTGCTCCCTGTCTTGGAGCCATGATGGGTGATGAAATGCAAGAGAGACACTAGTTTAACAATAATGGAACATCTGTTGGGAGATATTTAAAAATATTATTCTATACCTTTATTATTAGTTTCTATATATTTTTAGTTTATTTCAAGGGATTAAATGTTAAAGTCTTATTTGTGCAAAAGTGTTCAAAACCGTCTTAACTTAAAATTGTGGAACTTGGCCGGGGGCGGTGGCTTATACCTGTAATCCTAGCACTCTGGGAGGCCAAGGTGGTAGGATTGCTTGAGCTCAGGAGTTCAAGATCAGCCTGAGCAAGAATGAGACCCCATCTCTACTAAAAAAAAAAAAAAAAAATAGCTGAGCGTCATGATTTGCGCCTGTAGACCCAGCTACTCGGGAGGCTGAGGCAGGAGGATCGCTTGAGCCCAGGAGTTGGAGGTTGCTGTGAACTGGGCTGATGCCATGGCACTCTAGCCCAGGCAACAGAGTGAGATTGGAACTTGGGGTTGTTAGGATGGACCTTGGAGATCATTTAATCTCATATCTGTATTCTTTTTTTTTTTTGAGACAGAGTCTCACTTTGTTGCCCAGGCTAGAGTGAGTGCTGTGGCGTCAGCCTAGCTCAAGCAACCTCAAACTCGTGGACTTAAGCAATCCTTCTGCCTCAGCCTCCCGAGTAGCTGGGACTACAGGCATGCGCCACCATGCCTGGCTAATTTTTTCTATATATATTAGTTGGCCAATTAATGTCTTTCTATTTATAGTAGAGACAGGGTCTCGCTCTTCCTCAGGCTGGTTTTGAACTCCTGACCTTGAGCAATCCACCTGCCTCGGTCTCCCAGAGTGCTAGTATTACAGGCATGAGCCACCATGCCCGGCCTTCATTTCTATATTCAACAGACAAGGAAACTAAGTCCAGAGAAGTGAAATGACAAAACCAAATCCCATAACTACCTACCAATCCAGTCACAGGTATTATAGTTTCTTGATTCTTCTGGTGAAAACCCAATATATTACAGAGGATTTTATTCATCAGCAGGTCTACCTGTGTTAGTAAATAATCCTGTCAATTAGCTATTGTAGAAGTTACATATGATAGAAAACAGGAAAAAATTTAAAGGTGATCTTTATTTGGGGTAGGAGTCTCCCAGAATTATTTCAGTAACACTTAGCATAATTTCAGAGGACTGAATTCCCTCAGGGTTTGCTCTCTCTTCAAGAACATTTGCGTTTGTTTTTCTCAACTAATTACTGGTGCTTAACAGGTTAGTGTACTTAAAATTATTTGTTTATAAAACCTATCACAATAGCAGTGTGGAAAAAAATAAGCTCTTTAATCATTCTAATACCTGGCAGGTGATATTTACTGTGATTTTTAAATTATAATTTTTATCATTTCAAAGGTTCAGCTTCCCTTTCCTCTGTCATTCTATCATCTAGTCCCAAGCCATCAGCACTCAGTCAGTTATATAAGACACCTCAAAGCTGCTCACTCCTTTTATGTCACTTAAGAAATTAGTTTGATCTGAATATGGTTTCCCTGCAGGAATAACCAGCTCTGTTTAAAATATCCTTGTTAAGAGTATGAATGACTTATCTTACTAAGCCGCAAAAATTCATTCTTTAGTACATGTTCAGATAATATTTTATCAGGTAGTGAAAATTAACTTGGAACTAAGGGTTTAAATTTAATGTGTATGTGGGAAAACTTGGTAAGCACACAATCCAGTGATACTCAGAAGTTATCTTTACAGAATTATAGAATCTAACTTTAATACCCTTCCCTATGGGATAATACAGACAGAGCACTATTAAATTAATTATGTTCAAGTGTTAGGATGGACTATGGTAGACAGTTGTAAATCTTTATTTTTGCTTTTTAAAAGCAGAAACCAATTACCAAGTGTTGAGAGAAGACTAGGCCAAAACAATAAAAGTGTGTTATATTACGAATGGACTGATAGATGACAGATGTTTGGGAGATGTGAGAGTGGAAAACCAAGAGGGAGCTCTGCCACTTGCTGACTGTTTGACCTTGGACACATTCCTTAACCTCTCTGTGCTTATTTCAGCATCTCTAAAATGGAGATGATAACATTCCTCATTTTGTGGGATTCCTGTGAGGATTAAGTAAATTAATACCTATAAAATGCTTAGAATAATGCTTAGTGCCTCGTAGGGGCTTAGTAAACTGTTAGCCAATATTGTTACTGGTGTTGTTGCTGCAGGTGATGGTGTTATTTTAGGCCTTACCTGATGAATTTCAAGATTACATGGACACTGTATATAGGGAAGCAGGTATATTCTGGTTATAAGAAAATATGCCTAGAAAATGAATGGTTTTAGAAAAATTTTTTAAAAATATAGGAAAGACAACACCAAAGGAAAGAGGCAGAACAATAGGTAGAGATCAGACATTGGTTGAAACTGATGAGAGGAGACCTCCTATACAGGATTTCTCCATTCAAGCAATATTTGAACTGAGGATCTTGTGGTAGATAGAGAATATCCTGATATTTTTTTCACTATCGGAGCCTCTGAAGAAACAGTCTATCGAGTAGGTCAGGAAACAAATGCATAGGCCTAGAAAAAAACAAAAGAAAAGAAAAAAAAGGCAGCAGTTGAAGGGTTATCTGTGTTAGAGGAAGAAATGGATCCACTAAAATAGCAATTTACAATTTAAAAACTTATCCAGGCTTCCTTGAATGGAGTAGTAAATGATAGAAAGAAATGGAACAGGAGTCAAGAGTAGAGAAAGAAATGGCAGAAAATAATACACAAGGTAGTACAAGGTACTCAAGGGCTGGAGGATCTGAAAGCTAAAGGAAGTGGGGTTTTAGAAGAAGAGCACGTGTCAGAGGGCAGGTTAGACCTCATGATGATCCTGAGATTATGGCCTTTGGAAGCATCAATAACAGCTTCAGTTTCAGGAATCTGTTGAGGGTGATTATCCAGCTAAGATACACTTTAGGAAAGAGGATCTTGGAAGCAGGATTAATATACTCAAAGAGTTCTAGAGCAGGAAACAGTGGCAACAGCTGTGTCATAAAGTTTAAAGTCTTGCGCTCGTGCTGGGGATGGACCAATACCTAGAAAAAAATCTGCTGCAAGGCCATAAGCATGGACTACAGGGTTGCCTATTATACACGTGGGGTGCTGTTTTCACACATGCAAAAAAAAAAAAAAAAAAAAAGCTATAGGTAGAAATTAGGCTCAATTCAACATTAGACTTCCTGACCAGAAACACCAGACTCAAAAGAGAAATGGAAATAGAAGTATTCAAAACATGGAAAGAATACCGAGAAAAAGAAGGAAGATTTAGTATGTTCTAGGCATTGGAGATGCTACCACTGAAAACCTCCTCATGTCTCTTTATAACTAATTAGGCCCTATTCCCATTCTTGAATTGCTTTCTCTGGCAAGGGTGAGGGGATTACTCTTAGATTAATTAGACTTGCTTTTGTAGCTCTAGATGGGATGAACTGGAAGGGGGAGGATATAGGTCCCTAGAAAAAATGGGTTTGGGGGGGCAAGGAGAAAGATGTTGTATATAAAGTCAAGTGTGTCCTTATTAAAAGCATAGTGTCACAGTTAACCTCTTGATAAGGAATTTATCCCAACTGAATTTAAATTCACAGGTAGTAGTTGGAAAACTGACATGTTCTAATAGTTATCCTGGCAAGACAGAAAGCAAGAAGATCTCTTCATCTTTGTTCTTTCTGCATTATTCCCCTTCCCCAAGAGAACACTAAGTCTGCTGCAATCTTTGATGGGCAACAGCAAACAAGGTCTATACACTGGGTTCTAGGAACATCATTTTGTTTGTACAATGCTGTTACTACAGGAGTCACAGTTGCTTCTATGTTTTTGGGACACAGATATTTGAGTGAATTACTTCAATTTTGAAGGTACTGAAGGCGCTATACCTATTGTAATGGAAGAAGATGCAGTGGCTGCTGAAGAACCCCAAATTGCAAGGAATTGAAGCAAAAGTGTCTGACAGGGACTGAAAAGATCAGGAAACTAAAGAGAAGAGTATTCAGGGCTTTAAGGTCCTCAGTAGGAAGAGAAATTCATTTTGGACTTGAATTTCCCTGGGAACTTAATGGGAAGGGCTTTACATTGTTCAATTTTCAGCCATTCTTTGTTTTATCTGGACTTTTAAAAGTAATCTTCTTTGTTGACCCATTTTGGACAGTATAAGCAGGCCTAATTTCACATGAAAAATAGACTATGGAGTGAATATTTGGCCTAGGGTAAAGTTACAGTCAGGAACAGTGGTAATAACTGAGAGAACTGCTAATCTCTCCTAGTTGGACAGTCTTAATTGAACAAAGGTTTGATTATTAAGTTCAGTTGTAAAAGAGAGAATAATGAGGCCTGAGGGGTGGGGATGGGGGTTCAGCTTGTCTCCTTGCATTTCTGCCAGAACACATGAAAAAAGAAACTTCCACCCAAGCTTCTGCCCCTCTGTGTACTCTCTTATTATATCCTCTACATAGAATAACTGACTAGTCTGGACAGCGACACTAGAGTCACTTCACTAGAGATCATGACATTAATGGGCGCTCACTTTCATCTTCTACAGGCCCTAATGCCTGCTTTTTCATTTCCTACCCTGAAGAGCAGCAGGCTGTCTTGTACATTTTTTCCCCACGTAGTAAGCAAATCAAGAAGTGGTGGGGGTGGGACATAGGAGGTGAGTGGGCTACCTACCTCTGGTGAGAAGGCCTCATCTTCTTCCTCCTCCCTCTTTGTTCCCAACTCCATGGGTCTGGCAGCCCAACCTCATCCTGGCACCTGGTCAGGTAGGTGGAGTTGTGCTCAGCTATTGATGCCTCTCTACTTAAACCTTGTTCTTATCTTCACTCTCACCCTTCTCTCTTCTGACACACTTGAGGGATCCCAAGATTTAGTTTTGGAGTTGAAAAAGTAAGAGGCCTTACTTAGGCTTCCTGGCTTCTACCCAGCCATGACCCAAGCTTCACTCTAAGTTTGGGCATTTGCCTGCTTACTAATAAGATGGTACTAGGGTTCTCATTTGGGCATAGATCCAGGTGTGCATGCCTCCTTGGGGAAGTTAGTTGGGAGAAGAGGTGGAATAGGATTTGGGTTTGGAATTCTACCCTAGATTTCTGACACTGTTTTTTGAGACATTTCATTATTTTCTACATTTTAAAGCCAGAACATGTCTTATAAGAGGTTGACTAGCTCAGAAATTCCCAAAAGAAAAATGAAGAATGAACAAGTACTTTGGAAAAATTAGAAATGTTTTTATGACATAAAAACTAGGGGGAAAAAAGAGCTTGTAAATATACTTTGGGAAAGATTTTTAAACTATAATTTACCACTCGGTGAGTGAGTAGCTATCGCTATTTAAGTGATAAATGATGGAAAAAATGTGAAATGAAAGACAATTCCAAATAAGTGAAAATATTGTCATATCTAATGCTTATAATAAATTCTTTATTTTGACCATAAAGAGCTATATATTTTACATTAATAGAAAATGAATTTCTCTCTGCTTTCAGCTATTTAAAGAATATTGGTTTGAAGGGGTGCCAGATTACTACTTTTCCCAGGACTCCCACGTGACTTGAGCCAGTCCATTCTCAGCCTCTCTTTTACCCCATCCTCTATCCAGTGTTGCTTAATTGGTGCTACCTACTGCACAGTGTGGTACAGTCTCATCATCTGTGGCTCCTGAAAAGATGGGGTACTGCAAGGAGTTATGGGGTGGAGAGGAATACAAGAGTAATAAATGAAAAGATGAGAAAAAAATTCAGTTTTCTATGTTTTGTTTTACAAAAAAAACCCAAAAACCTATGTTCCCAAATAGACCATCCACACATATGGACATTCACTCCCCAGATGCTGCTCTAGAGGAAGAAGGGTGATAAAACTTCATACACATGTCAACTATGCCAAATGGCATGGCCCCATAGGATTCCTGCATGTCCCTCATATCAGTGGGCAGAGAATGAATTATTAAGATCACTACGTAGATTTATATATAAAACAATTTTTGAGAAAATGTTAGTAGTTTTGTTCAGTACACAGCTGGAAAAGAGGCCTTGGTGTGAAGTTCCAGGTTTTGGTGTGTGAAAACATCAAGGAGTCTTACCCAATCCATTCTCAGAACTTCCCTTCCTCCATTTCAAGACAGCCTCTGACACTGTAGAAATTTATACTTACGGAAATTGAAAATTAAGGAACTGATCTTTTTGTATTAGTAAAACCCTTTAAGCTACTACTTACCCAGGATAACAAATGAAAGGAGTCAGACTTTTGAAAACAAACAGATCAACAGATTAAACACCTTCTAGAGTTCTAATAGCCTTAGTTAAAAACCCTTAGTTGAAAAGTAAACAATTAAGAGCTACTCATCAAAGGTAGATAGCTTTTAGCCCAGAAGCTTGTGGTTTGGGGGAATGGGGGGGCTGCGGGGTGGGAGGGGCACTACTTGGGATCCATCTTTACTAACAAGGAGGAAATAGAGCTCTCCCGTCATTACAGAGCTCATTTAGAGGGCCAGGCCCCACCACAGGATGTGTCTCCCTCTTGATACAGATCAACTTCATTATGTGATTTATGTTAATGAATGCTTAACATAAAATTGAGGGCATTTTTGTTTCAAAGTATAGTTTGTTATTAGTGTTCAGGTCAGGATCCTTTGGAGAAGAAAGTGGGCAGGGCAAGGATTGTTCACCTACAAACCAGAGTAGAGTGAACAAGTACAACCAGATATTCTTGAAGCCTCCACTGATGAGTCCCCTTTCAAACCCTACTTCATGAACCCAAATGGTTTCCTTTATTCCCCCTGACTCCAGCCTCTAGTGTCCTGCCTTTAATGACTTGGATTTCAATCACTTTTTGTTCCTTACCTTGTTTCCTATTTGTTGCATCTCTTCCTCCCAAGATCCTAATCTCTATGTTGTAGACCATGAGCTGGTAATTTAACCCAAATTTTCTGTTTGCTTGTTTGATAATTTAATTTGGCCCTATAATGAAGTAGAAAAATATGGGCTTTGTAGTCAGGCAGACTTAGATTTAAATCGGACTATATCACTAACTGGTGTAATGCACCTCTCCGAGGAAGTTTCCTTTTTAGTAAAATGAAGATATTAATACTCACCTAAAAATATGATTGTGATTGGAAATAGTGGTAATGGTTCCTCAAAACTGTGAATGTACTTTATGCCACATAATTGTATACTTAAGAATGATTAAAATGGGAAATTTTATGTTATATGTATTTTCCCACAATTTGAAAAAATGTGGTTGTGAGACTTAGTCTTTGTAGAACACTTATTACAATGTCTGGCATATAGTTGACTCTCAACAAATGGCAACTGTTTAGCATAGAATATTTTGTATCACAAGTAACAAAAAAGCACAACTTAAAGTGACTTAAACAATAAGAGAATGTATTGGTTCCTGAAATTGAAAAGTATAGAGGTAGGGCAGTCTTTTGGGTTAGTTTATGTCACCAAGAATTCAGATTCATGTCTTTAGTCACTAAGGACTGTCACTAAGGATTCAGCCATATCACTAAGGACTCAGTTTCTTTCCATCTTTCCACTCTGCCTTCTGCAATGTCACCTTTATCCTAAAGCTTGGAGCAACTCCATAGAAGTACATGTTCCTTTGTTCACATTTGGAGAGAATGGCTTGGACCCTGACACTTACTTGCTTAAACCACACACCTGCCCTCAAACCAAAAGCTGTGCATGAGAAGGTGGAATATGATGGCTGGTTTTAACAAGCCAGGGAATGGGTCAGCTTCTCTGGAGGTGTATGGGGAGAGTGGATTCCCCAAATGAAAATCAAAGTACCATGGAGGAGAGAAGGTGAGACTAAGTAGCTTACTGAGGAGGTAACCAACAAATGTCCACTGTAGTGGCTATTATCATTATTATTGGCTTTCTTGGCCCTCAGCCCTTGGCTCTTGGCTATTTCTTTGGAAATCATTTTTAAAAACCACAAAACTAAGAAAGTTCTTATTTCATGTAATTATATTCTTTCTAGCAAAGAAAGATCAATAAGTATAAAACTAAGTTTAATCTAACTGGGTGTTAAGCATCTGGAGCACCAGCCAAACAAGCAGCAAAATGCACTGAATGAAGGGGTCTCACAGGAAAGAATGTCAGGGTCAGAGAGCAGGGAGGGAGCTAGGAAGATGATGACCTGCCAAAATGCCAAACCCGGAAGGGTGAGGTTAGTTATTGGCCTGTTCTTTACTAGGGCCAGGTTAGAGGCCGTGACATGGGTTAGGACAAAGGGACTAATTAAAGAGAGGAAGGGGCATTCCCCCAGAGTTGGCAGATGAAAGATCTGATTAAAACCTGGTTTTAACTGCTCTGCTCACTCCTTTGCAGCTTCTATCTACCCGTCTATGAGTTTCCTCTTTCTCTTTTTGCCCTAGCCCCCAACTAATGACGTGCCAGTTTCTACCAGTTGTATTCTGTCCATTCTGCTAAAAGGCTTTTCCACAATCCTTTGCTGCACTCCATCTGGCTAATTCCTATTCATTGCTTAAAACTTTAAATTCTGGTCTTTCCTTTGCAAGAAGACCTTTCTGTGCACCATTGTTGCCCCACCTCTCACCTCCAAGACATACCCCACAGCCTGATTTAAGTAATCCCGTATGGTACTACCTATCTGCAATCACTACCCAGTAGCCTAATGATTTATTTACTCATCTGACCCGAACCCCTGACCCCCCTCTCCCCACTACATTAAAGCTTCTGAAGAGCAGGGACTTTACCTTGGTCACCTTTGGTTCCATGATGCCCAGCACAGTGCTTGGCACATAGTAGGAGCTCAATGAAACAAAGGTAATTCCTTTGGTTACTATCTGATATCTCCTTACCCAGGACTTAAGAAACAGAATGACACATAAAAACCAAAGTGTTTCTCAACCCAAGGACAGTTGGTCCTCTCTACCTAGAAGAGGAGTTGGGAATGAGGAATACAAAGACACATTAAAGATGTTTTGTAGCAGTTTGTATCCACCTTAGACTTTGGAAGTAAATTCCAAAGTGATTCTGAATCACCATCAAAATTGCTGAAAAGATCCAGAGTGCCTATTTTCCTTTTCTGTTCTCCATCTCCAAACACCGTTCCTATTCCCAAACTGTTAAAAGGGATTTATCTCACCTATTTAGTCACATAGTGCTTGCTCACAATTTTTATGTTGTTTATTCCAGTTAAAGAATAAGGATATGATTATTACATAAAGTGACCATTATAATAGTTCAGAGTTACAAACACTAGCTAGTGGCATTTACAGAGTGAAGCAAGCCACCTGAACTAAATACCAGGTGCTCAGTAAACTTACTGTAATACCTCATTCCTGTTTACAAAGAGCTCATATGACCTTTATGTAGAGAATTTGTTTTCTGTTTAATTTATTTTTCCATTCTGAAACAGATTCATCTATTATAGGATAGGAGCCAATTATTGGGCAAACACAGTAACACCTAATGACCATACCCTCTGGTATTTAGTCTCAAAACATTTTGTAATTCTTAACGCACAGAATTAAAAATATTTTAACATTACACTAAAACAGAACTAAATATACTTAAAATGTTCAAGGAGGTAGAACACTCAGCCCTGTTTCTCAAGCAGGATAACTGAAAGGTCTTGTGCTTGGCCTGATGGTTAGGTTTTAACAAGCCAGGGGGAGAAGTTTCAGAAGTGAGGCCTCCACCCTAATAACTTCTTGTAGGTTTCTGGTTGTTTAGGATTATTTGGAATCAAAGCCAGACATAGGCCAGTTTCCTGATGTAATTATGTATCTTTTTGCCCTGCTGCTGCATTACCATGGCTGCCTTCAAGCCCCCTTTCCCCACTCTTGGTGTCTTCCTTCTATGTCCTCAGGCTTGAATGCTGTGTCCTTATGACCAGAGCTGAGGGCCACCATGCTGTTCCTACCATAATCCACCACAATGATTCACATGTATATCTTTCCCTGACTCCTGTCATTTCCTAAGGCTTCCCATAAAATGAATGACTTTCTTAATTCTAAAGCACACTTTAAAAAATATTTTAGTGTTTTCTCTATTCTAAGACATACAGTGTATACTATTTGTACATTTCAGTGTTTCTGAAATTAGAATTAATTTTACAGTCTTTTTATTTTTTCTCCTAGAAGAAGTGATTACCATATTTTTGGCCACTTCTACAATCAAAAGTATCTCGGAACTGGAGATATATTGTATCAATGTACTTTACCAGAGACAACCAGTTTTTTCAAGAGTCAGAAAATGTTGCATATGGATATTTGAGTTATCATACAGCAGAAAAGGGACTTTGGGGGTAGGAAGATATGGATAGTTTAGGCAAAACAAATTACCTAATTGTTAGTTGATTATCTGGACTAGCTGTTGTCTAGATAATGACCTTAGCCCATTACCTCTTTGCATTTTCTATTTGGGGATTGGATGCAAAGGAAATATGAAGCTAATTATCTCCTTCATATAGAAGACAAAGGATCGCAAACTCTCTCTATATATTAATGGTTCTAAGGCCTAATATTTGCATTGAACAAGAGGATGGGATTTATGAACAGAACTCTCTATAGAACATCCTTGATGTTGATGACCAGTTATCTCAAATCACCCCTAAGGTCTTCCCTGAAAGGACTGTAACTTGATCCCACCTATTCTTGCTAAAGAGATGGTGAGTATTTTGGGAAAGGAGCAGAGAGATCAACACAGCCATGAATATATGTTTCCTGCTGAGGGTAAAATATTCAGATATCTGAGCTCCATTTCTAAGATCCAGTAAAATTATCAATTGTTTTTCTAAAACATTTTGGGGAAGATAATTATAAGTTGCATAAAATTATTATTCTAGGGATCTTCATCTGAACATTCTTATTTGTTAAAATTAAGAATAAAATGGAAATTCTGAGAATAACATGCTCGTCTCTAACATTTATAGTACCTAGGATTAGAGTACAAGTAGAAGGGTACATACAATAGTTAAAAATAATTAAATAATTAATAATTAGAATGAAACTAACAAACCATTAAATAAATATATTCTATCCACCTTCCTTGACAAATTATCAAATATATCTTTATTATGACAGAATTTTTAAAAATATGTATAAAACAATGGTTTTTATATGACTGAAAGTCAGCTAAACAGCAAAAATTATTTGACTTAGTTATTATTGTGCATTTGGGTATCACATTGATGACTGGTAATGTTGAATGACTAATAAAATATGTATATAATTCATAAATTATTGTGTATTAATTGCATAAGTATTACATTTTATTTTTATTTTTTTCAGCAAAATAGTTACATTGTTATAATCCAGATTTTCCTGTAATTTGTGTTCTGTTGACAATGATAGCAAAATAGACAACTTTTCTTGAATTAGTGTACTTGAAGGGGATCAGAATATGTCCCCCTAAAACTTGCTACTTTGACGTAAGGATTATTTTGAGCTGAAGGTAATTAAGAAGCACCAAACACAAAAAGAACTTTGTCCTCCTATCTGCCTAAGACAGGACATAAATATATCTTTGTGAAGGTGTTCACTCTCTCTTTTCCAATACCAGAAGAAGAGCAACTGTTATCACTGGAGACAGAACAACCCTAATCACTGAGATGGATCTACACAAACAAACCTTACTAAAACCTTTATCTTCCATTAGTTTCCCCTATATATTTGCCTTCCTGCAATTTACTCCTAGAAGTCCAAACCATTTTTCCTTTCTCTTGTCTCTCCTACACAATTTATCACCCTTTGTTAAAATGGTATATCAGATCTAGTTCTAGCCTCTTCTTTGGGTCTTCCTTTCTTTTCTTTTCTTTTCTTTTCTTTTTTTTTGTTTCTCTTTACAAAAAAGTATGAAATTTATTTCAATATCTAGTTTCATTTTTAAATTATAGCTGTTGGACAATTTTTATAATTTAATATTCATTATCAGAAGTGCAGAAAACATTAAGCTATTAAATACTAAGTGAATAAAATTATTGGATCATGCATTTATAAACGTCATGTTTAATAGTGAAAAGTTCCAGTTATATTACTTGACAGAAATATAGCATATTCTCATTGACATAATTTTATCCTCTTCACCAAATTACTATGCCCAACAAAATGTTTCCAAATTTTAAGCCTTTCCTTACTGTTACTCTTTAGGAGTTCTTCAAAAGAAATGTGAAATTTTAATTTTCCCTTTGAACCTGTTTGACCAAAAACTATTGAACATCACTACCATATAAGTTAAAACAAAGAATGGAATAAAAAACAAAAGTGTCTATATAATAAACAAATTGTAGACATTTTAAGTATTACACAGTTCTACGTAACGCAAGAACAAACTGGTTCCAAGGTACTACAGTGTTTGGCATTTTTATTGCAAGCTATAAATCATAGTATTACTTTTCTCAAGTTGTTTATAAGAAAATGGCTGTGCTCACTAAGTACAAAAATTGTTATATCCAGTAGGTGGTATTATACATAGTCAAGATAAGAGAATTCTTTATAAAATTAGATTTAAAAAATGCAGAATGTCTTGCTAATTAACCAGTTGTCTCAACAGCTAATATCAGAAAAATGCAGAAAATAGAAATACTCATTGATTAAATATTATTTTGCTTTGAGAAAGCCAAAAATGATTCTAAGAAATAAGCAATAATGATAAAAGATGTGATTAACATACTGTATCTCTTTTAAGCCAAACCATACTTTTCACCTCAGCGAGTTCATTTCTGGCTTGTACATTCTTAATTTCCTTTGTCCAGTAAAGGACCCCATTTTAAATAGCTTATTTGAAAAGTTCATAATCTAAAGTCATTTTCCTCCACAGGATGTTTTCATTTCAGCATGTAAACTGCCAAATGGCAAATGACTAAGTCAATTATAAAGAATTTGTACCATAGTAAAAGCCAATTTACAATAACTGTCAATAGATACCAACAAAAATTTCTATACCCACGCTTAAAAGTAACTACAGTATTGAGGTCATTATTAGCATGATTCTTCCATTTGGTCAAATTTCCTTTACTAAATAATACTGTCAAGAAATACAAAAAAGAAACCTTAGTGAGTCCTTTCAAAGCTACATAATTTTCCAAATGATTTTCCTCTGGTTGGAGAGCCTGTTTATTCCTTCAATCCTTTTTTAGTCGTTTAGCTTTTGCAATATTTTCTTGACGTTTTTGTTTCTTCTTTTGCTCCTTCTCCCTGGCCTCAATCATCTTGGCCAACTTCCAAGACAGTACAGCACTTGCTAGGAACAGTGGAGTTAGGGCCAAAATAACTGTTGTAAGGAAGCCATACGGGTCCTTTGCAGCCCACTCCACAACATACTCAGCCCAAGCCTTAGTATCAAACATCTTCGTAGCAGTCTTAGGAAAACTTACGTTTGAGTTGTGATCTCTTAACTTTGTCCTGGTATTATTAATGAGTCAATCACAATTCTAGATCACCCTTGATTGCCGTCTTCTTGAGTTCTACCATGCACTTCTGAGAGAAGGTTTAAATTCTATACCCAACGCGGCCGCTGGCCCACGGGAACCGTGTTCGCCCTGCCCCTCGGCCTCGGCCAGCGCGCCACTCCGCAGAGCCAAAGTTTCCAGGGAAAATGGGGTGGCCGCCTGCGCTAGGCACAGGGACAAAACCACCCCGGCTGCCGCCGCTAGCTTCCCCTACTTTCCTTTCTTTTCTATGAAGGTGTCTATGCATGTAAAACTTAAAATATTAACATAAAATAAAATTTATATGCCTTTTCTCCTGTAAATCTGTCTTTTGCCAGTTTAATTTGCAGGCCTAAGGCACACAACCTATGAGGACAGAATAAAAGTATTTTTTTTTCCTCCCTGATATACTTCTTAGATTTTTGTTTGACTTTATATTATAGGAAATGTAGATAATATAGATAATGGAGTATAAAGAACTCCCATGCACCCATCATCTGGCCTCAATAATTATTAACTCTTGGTCAGTCTTGCTTCACTTATATTCCCCAACTTTCTCTACCCAATTATTTTGAATTAAATCATAGATATATAATTTTATCTATGAATATATCAATATGCATCTCTAGAAAAGACCTCTTAAAAGACCTTAATAATATTTTCACATCAAAAAATAATTCCTCAATATTAAATGTTTTTAAATTTAATTTCAATGGAATTGGAAACATTTTATTCTGCTGAGGCAATAGAAACTGGCATTGTCAATAAAATGTTTAAATCAATACTTACATTTGGAAATGAATCATGAATTTTACATATCATGTTCAGACATTTTAATGGAGTTGCAATAGTCATAATCATCATAGAAAATATTAAAAATTTTTAATTTTATCATATGAATTCTATTACTTATATTGTGATTTTTTTTGTCAGCCCTTAATGCAATATCTATATCTATCTATATATATATAGTATCAAATTATTCTTTCAATGTTTTTCAATGCTGGGACATTATAAAGAAGAACAAAGAAAATATGTGGTTCAGTTTATTCAAATCTCTCTTCAAGGAGACCATACTACTATCTGGAATGTATAGAAAATGTGTATACATAATATATAGATATAGATTTGTATGTGAACTTTTCCTTTATAATCACACATTTTTGTTTCATTGTTTTAATTTTCTTTTATCTTACTGGAATATCATTTTTGTTGTCTATACCATATTTAGTATCTTTCTATTTAGAAAAATCATTTTCTCTAAAAATTTTAAAAGTATTTTAAATTATTTAAAAAGTGAATTAGCCCACCTTAGATCCGTCTGCGTGTTTTGTAAGCTTTTACTAACATGGTTAACCACAAGCAATAGTCCATACTAAATAATTGTGGTTAGCACAAAATCAAAAGTATTTCCCACTGTAGAGCACGCTTCCTTATTTATCTGAGGATCCTCTATTGTTTTACTTACCCATCTTAGAGCAGCTCACTATCTTGTCTCAATTAAATCTAACTGCTCTAACAGCATTGAAATCATGTCTTCATAGTCAACCGAGAGTAGCTATGAGGTTAAATTTCATATGTGTTTAAACAAATTGATCCGTTTTGGACAGATCTAGAAATATTGTACATAATCTTTGAATTACTCCAAAGAATGTCATTGCTATTGTCAGAGTTGAGGCCATGTCTCCTAGGAACATGTTGATAGATGTTTAATAAATTTGTGGGCATGTGTTTTTGTGGTATGCAAGGCTCACAGAAGTACAAGGCTCAGGGAGGGGATCTTCTTGCCGTTGTCAAAGAGTCCCACTGCAGACCAATAATACATATAAGTATTAATAATACCTTATAATATGCATGTGCTACATTTTTTGAAGTGCTTCCATATTTATGATTTCTTTTGATCTATATAATAACCTATGGACTAGCTAGAGTAATTAGAGATGAGAAACAGAGGTCTAGAGAGGTTAAGTGATTTATCTAAAATTACACATCTAATTAGTGGTAAAGCTAAGAGTAGAACCTAGGTCTCTCCATGCACAGGTTATACTATGATATACCATGCTGCCTACTTAATGTTTCCAAAACAAAGAGACCTGACAGTTGGACAGGCTGCATCCCAACATTTTTCATTCTTTAAAATCCTTTTAGTAAGAAAAAATTAATATAGGACAATGCACGAAAAAAACCCATATGCTCTTTGATATCTTTTCAGTCCATGTGGGACCAATATATACATATTGACTAATGTTTCAGGAACTAGAAATGTATCTTCTTCTAGGCAAATGTTCATTCGAGTAATACAGACTAAACCTTTTGAAGGGTGAGGATCATATTCTTTAACCTTCTCGTAAGGTACTGAGCACAACTTTGAGAATATAAACAGCATCTTCTAAGAGCAGGGCTTTTGGGAATGGTTACCTCTTTGTTCTGTATACTTAGAAGTACACCTAGAAGTACAAAAACATTAGTATGAAAATGAGTATAATCCTCTTATAATCACGCAATGCAGGTTTCTTGCCGATTCCCCTGTACAGTTTGCTCAGGCCTACCTCGATGCCTCTATCATCTGCTCATATAGCTCCAAGGCTTCAAGTGCTTACAAAAGTCCTTTCTTTCCTCTGCTTTTCAGCACCCTTGAATTTAGAATGCATTTTACAGTCAATGGCATCTTAGATAGAATATACCAAACTGTTAACAGTGATTACCTCTGGGGAGTTCTATATTGTTTACACTTTCTACAATGAGGGTGCATTACTTTTATAAGGAAAACAAATTTTAAAAGAATTTTAGACACAAAATCTCAGGTGGTTTATGCACCTTGTCTCTTAGTGCTAAAAGAGTACTGGGAATGTAATAACAATAATTAACATTTCATAAGGTTTTATATTCATAATGGATTTTATAAGCCCCTACATGTTAGCAATTGGCTTCATACTTCTGTGGTAATCTTCACAACACTTAGCTGTGAATTACCTCTGATGGAAACAATCCTTAGAGCTCCTTGGTACACACTATATTGTACTGTAATTGTCCATTTACTTGGTCATTTTGCCACCAGAACGTGGGCTCCCTGAAGGCAGGAACTGTGCTCACTCGTTTTTTGTTTCTCTGGCACCTGCCTAGCACAGATTCAAGCCTTTCAAGTTTGTAAAATAAAGAAATGGATGAAAGACCCATAGGTCCTCAATATTTTTTTAATGTTATTTCCACTCATGCAATTTAACAGTTTGTTGCGAGGAGGGCATTTAGTATCTGCTAGGATATGGCTTGTTGGCTTTTCTTTGTGGATGGCAAATGGCAAGGCCCAAGCAGGAACTGTTACTTTAAAAAATCATCTCTGTATTCTCCCCTAGGGCATATACAGCTTTAGCCTCCTATTGTCAAATTTGTTAATCAATATAATTTGTGTGTAAGCAGGTAAAGAAAACCACTTTCCAGCTTGCTACTAAATTAAATATCTTACTGATACAGGTTGTGAATAGGGGAAGTTTGAAATATTTTTTTCTTATTACTTAAACTTGAAGAAAAAATTTTGCCAATGAAAATTTCTTAACTGGTCTTTAAACTATGGTATCATGTTTGTATAGAGGAAGTCTGTTTGAGGGAATGTTCTCAGTTCCTAAAACTCCAAGGTGAAGGGTTGAGAATATTTTTTAATAGGATCTGGTATATGAATAAAAATAAAAATACCTGGCAATCCATGGATTGGGAGAAAATATTCGCAAACCATAGCTCTGATAAGGGATTACTATCCAGGGTATATAAATAATGCCTATAACTCAACAGCAATGAAGCCAACCCAATTTAAAAAATGGGTAAAGGACTTAGTAGACATTTCTCTAAAGAAGAAAAACCAATAGTCAATAAGCACATGAAAAGATGCTTAATGTTACCGATCATTAGGGAAATGCAAAGCAAAATCACAATGAGATACCACTTCACAATCATTCGGATGGCTGTTATTAAAACAAAAACAAAATCAAAAACAGAAACTAACAAGTGTTGGCAAGGATTTGGAGAAATTGGAAATCTTGTGCACTCATGGTGAGATTGTATTAAAATATGATGCAGCTGCTGTGGAAAAACAGTATGGCAGTTCCCCCACAAATTAAACATGGAATTATCATATGATTCAGCAATTCCACTATTGGGTATACAACCCAAACAATTGAAAGCAGGAACTTGCACAGATATTTATACACCACTGTTCATAGAATCATTATTCACAATAGCCAAAAGGGGAAAACAAGGCAAATGTCCATTGACAAGTGAATGAACAAACAAAATGTGGTATACACATTCAACGGAATATGTTTCAGCCTTAAAAAGGAAGGATATTCTGACACATTCTACAACATGGGTGAACCATGAGGATGTTATGCTAAGTGAAATAAACCAGACACAAAAGGACAAATACTGTATAATTCCACTTATATGAGATACCTAGAGCAGTCAAATTCTTACCAATACAAAGTAGAATGGTGGTTTTTCTAGGGGTTGGGGGGAGGGAACAGGGAGTTTTTTAATAAGTGCAGAGTTTCAGTTTGGGAAGATGAAAAAGTTCTGGAGATGGATGGTAGTGATGGTTACACCACTGTGTGACAGTATTATGTATTTATTTGTTTATTTTTTGAGACAGAGTCTCACTTTGTTGCCCAGGCTAGAGCGCCATGGTGTTAGACTAGCTCACAGCAACTTCATACTCCTGGGCTCAAGCAATCCTGCCTCAGCCTCCTGAGTAGCTGGGACTACAGTCATGCGCCACCATGCCTGGATAATTTTTTCTATATATTTTTAGTTGTCCAGCTAATTTCTTTCTATTTTTAGTAGAGACAGGATCTCTCTCTTGCTCAGGCTGGTTTCGAACTCCTGAGCTCAAATGATCCACCAGCCTCAGCCTCCCACAGTGCTAGGATTACAGGCATGAGTCAACACACCTGGCCATGACAGTATTTAATACCACTGAAATGTATACCGAAAAATGGTTAAAATGGTGAATTTTATGTTATATATATTTTACTACCAAAAAAAGATAAAACAAAAGTACTTGAT